TTATAATAAATTAATAAATAATTCTACTTACGTGATCATGCCAATGCCACACAAATTCAATAATACACTTTTTAAACACATAATATGTGGAGTATTTTAAAAAATACACGCTTTTAGATATGAATTGAAGTTATTCATTTTGAAAGAGACTATTGCAGTTCACTTCATTTCGAATTACGAATAGTTCAAAAATGGCGACTACCGCTAATTACGCTTTCTCTTCTGATGGTGAATATTTTGCTTATTGTGGAAATGATGGAAAGTTGAAAATTTGGGACACTGGCACTGGTCGTTTGAAACAAGAATATGTTTCTAATTTTCACCTTTCTTCTCCATGTTGTGTTTTGACATGGCTTTACGTCAGTTCTCAATCAACACATACATCGGTGAGCCATGTGCTCTTTTACTTTATATTCAAATAAATATTTTATTTTATCTTTCTATAAATCTGTTTTATGTATTACAATACAATAAAATGTCTTTTTAATTAGAGCTACTTCTAAGTTATATTGTCAATCATGAATATTTATATTATTTTATTATACTTTGTGGTGTAGTTTTAAAGGTTATATTTTTCTTGCGTTTTATAATTTTCTAAGTTTCATACAAAAATAATTTTAAAAATTAAACTTCGGAAATAGTATTTTAAGATATAAATGTATTTCATTTTATTAATTTGCTTTTTTCACTTATCTTTACTATTAAGTCACACTTGTTTAATACATTCACATTGGAGGTTATATTTTTTGTTCATTACTCAATTTATTAAATTTTAATTGCAACGAATAATGAATTTATTATTTTCACAATCTGTTCTTATGTTTAACATAAATTTTGTATTTATGTTATGTTAAATTAAGTAAATTGAACAAGCAATTTTGATAACTGTTTGCAATATAATTTGAATTGAAATAATTGTTTTGATTTCTAGTTTTTTAAAAGAAAGATAGTTAAATGATTAATTTTGTTTAACATTTGCTATAAGTATTTTTATTTTAATCTTTTATTTCATAGTTGTAATTAGATTTTTAGCAGTAACTATTGACTTACTTTATATCATTAGTTTGTCAGTACTATTAGCTAATTGTGCAAAAATAAAATGTTTAACATCAGATTTTTAGTAATATGTATAAGATTTAATCTTATATCTTGTATTTGTAAAACAAAAGTATTAAAAAGACAATATAGCCTTTTTTTATATAATTATTGAAATGACTTTCATTTATA